GGGGGGGGGGGGTTGGGGTCCCTGAGCTGACCCTGGTTACTGACACACTTTTTCCCTTCCTCTAGCATTAATTTAAAAGGAAAATGTGGGGCCCCTGTTATAGGCCCCCCGTTAGAGAGGAAACATTTTCTGCAGCTAATTGGATTTCCATATTTAACCAATTAGCTAGAAAAGCTACAAAGCAGCTCTGTGCTTACGCAAAGTCACACCGTAGCATGTTGTGCTTAGCATCATGTTTCACTGTGGAAACACCGTCAGGAGTTTCTGCACCATTAACAGAGAACAGAGCTGAAAATCAGAAGCTGGGAACACACACTCACCCACACACACACACATATGGAAATAAAACATTTTGGACCTGCAAGTGTGGTCATCACTGACGGAAGCAATTTGTTTCCCCTCTGTTGGCTCGAACACCAAATGGTTAATGTAGCCGGTGTGGCCCTCCATTACCTAGGAAACAGCACAGAAAAACTAAATGTAAACCAAACAGAAAAGGCATGATCAATACACAGTTAAATAAATTAGCATTTATAGGAAAGTTGTGATTACTACACAGGCTACAGCTACGCTTTCTATGAGCACGGCTACATTTCCTGTATCACTAAGTGCAAAATGTCAGAGCTAAGTAGAGAGACTTTGATGCCAACTGACAAGCGCAGTTCTGGCCAATGTGCTCCAGATGTTGCACTACCTTGACTTCATGTCTATCCTGAAGATCAGAAGTCAGCAGGCGTAGCTTTCTGTCAGCTGCAGCAGTGCAAAATCTACAAAGAGAGAGGAAGAGGAAAGAGAAAGGGAGAATGTGAAAACAAACATCATTTGATAACATCAAAACGGAGTCAGACTGTATGGACACAGTGACAGATGACATCTCTTCCTACATGAATGCCTGCGACCGCCTAGACTGACACCTCTGGATGAGTGTCGGTGTGTGTGGTAGAAACTTGGACAGCGATCAGTAGAAACGCTAGGGAGATTCTAATTGCAAGCTAAGATAAACACGGAGAAAAACAAGATTCCTCACAGCATTTACGCAGGTCTGTTGAAAAACCTGTGCGGAGCCAGGCAGAGGACTTTCCCTCTAATCATCGTAGTGTACACCAGTGCCTGCAATTATTCACACAATTACACTAACTCACTTATGACAAGAAAAACACACACATATCACCAGAATAAACAGACAGCGGTTCACACATTTTCAGTCGCAGGCACAGATGGATTTGGCATGATGTCACTACAAACACCCTTAACGTGCTTCGGGGCATTACTGCTACAGTAGATTAGATTATATTAGGATAGGCCTTCTAACCCTACAAATTAGTGTTGTACTTTGGAGAAAAGCATGGAACAAATTCTGGCTGTTCTTTTTTTTTTTTTTACTTAAATGTCAAAGCAATTTTCTTTATTGATCTCCAACATGCTCGTAAAATTAAATACCAGTACAAGTTCAGCTTTGCTTTTGTTGAGCAGTGTTATTGTTTTAACAGAAGACAAAGATGAGTGTATTCTTTCCGAGGGGATGTCACCACAAAGCACACGTCAACAAAGAGACCTGGCAACATTAAGTAAATAGCAACTCTTTGGGGAACTTCTTCAGTTGTGAGAAGAATAAATATCTTCTTATCTTTTGCCAAGAGAAAGATGAGAATATTGCTGCCACCCTTGTATCTGAAGCTACAGTTAGCAGCCGGTTAGCTTAGCATAAAGTATAGAAACAGGAGAAACAGCTGGTCTATTTCTGTGAGTAAAAGCACACACATAAGTTTGGGTTTGACTTAACTGATGCTACTTCACTTTTTAAGATATCATAGACGTTCCTTTTCTGACATAAAAATACCCTGACGTTGTTCCACACCATCTTTTTTTAAACCAAAATACTTCCAAATAGCAAATGTAACACTTTTTTTCCAAAACAACTCTTCTTCACTCCTTGTTAGCTTGATTTTCCATTGTATGGTGAGAAAATCTGCTCTAAGGAGAATTGTGATAGGTCAGTTGCTGTGCAGACACAACATGTGTGCAATGGCAGAGTCCAACATGTAATTAAATAAGGCTGTAGCTTGTCAGATGGGGCAGACTGTTTGTCTATGCGATCGGCCATACCACAGCAGGTTTTTCATTCTCTAACAAGCATTAAATTGGTATATTTAGTGCACAATGGTGGGCTTTATTTGTCAGATGTGACAATGCACGCCTGTAGATTGCAGAATAAATGCTGAAATTACATGAGGTTTTGTGCTGCGTACAATGAATATTTGGAGGAAGATAATTAATATGTGGTGTGTGTCTGGTCTTTGTAGGATTCATTATTCTTCACATATTCCCATTTTAAGCTGCTGTGGTGGATGTTGGCAGCTAAAGCCCCCTCCCCTCATCTCTCTCACTCTTTGGGCCCCTGCTTGAGGCCGGCCGTGAGAACGTTGTACTTTTCCTGGAAGGCACAGCTACGTGCAGATCGAAAGGCGGGATGGAACCTGAGCGGGCAGTCATCAGCGCAATAACATGTGCGCACGTCACAGTGCTGGCTGGAGGGCCGTGTGGAGTAAACCACAGAAGGCCAGGAATTATCGCTGCCTTTCCTTTTCAATTACAGAAAGCCTAAACACCTCCGGGGGGATCGTGGAACCTTCCCATCCACTGCTCCAATTAGGAGGAAACTCTTGCTTTCTAACAATCTACAGTTAGGCTACTTCCCTCCTGTCCAACCGGCCACCTGAAATAACTTGGCTCACATCCTGGCAGCTGCAGCGTGACAGTGAGAGGCGGTGATGACTACTTTCACACAACGGCTGCTGTGCTTTCTCCACAACTGCCTCTTGTTCTGGTCAATGGACGAGTGTTCGTGAATAATTATTCTGTTGTGTTAAAGACATAGATGTCAGCTTTCTGATGTGGGAGTGAAGTATGGCTTTTCACTTCCTAGTCCTAATAAAGGTTATGATGACCTCTTACATTACAAGAGGCTCTAGAGCTGCTGATGTTCCACTATGAACACAGTCTTATGTTAAAAGCCAGTTCTGCTAATACGGTTTTATTTAACTTTACCTGAATAATGACAATTTGTCAGCACCACTTTACATAATAAATGAACAATTTAGCCGGTAGAGGGGCAAGTCCATCATAAGTAGGGCTGGTGGTTTCATCTCTAGTTCTATCTGTCAACATGTAAAGTGTGAGAAAGAAATGTAACCCCTCACTGATGCATGTGTATGGAAAACAATCTGCGAGTCAAATATGCCGCATCAAGGTTCAATAACTGTTTTATGGTAATGTTAAATGCAAAAAAAAAGAAAGGATTGAAAAGGAGGTGTGGTAAGCTTTGTTGGGAACAGCTGTGAAGCTGAAAATCTGTCAAATTGCTTTCCTTGTTGTGCACTAAATGAGTCTAGCCACTAAGGAGTAGCAGATTAATTTAGCATGGACAAGACTGTATTCAAGATTAGTCATGAGCGCAGTTGCCAGTATAAGTATCATTTTCTGTCAAGCAGTGACATGTTTTTAAATGTTTGCATTTTCTTCAATGCATCATTATAATGTTCATGCATTGCAATTTTGATGCTGCAACAATTTACACAGCTCCAAAATCTTTAACCATTGTCCTGCACAATGTAACTTGGTAGGGACATCTTATCCACACACCAACAGGTGCTGGAAACAAAGAAGCCATACCTGATAGTGGGTATTCTGTCTAGCCGGGACTCTGGGCTCCAGGCGAGGGCATCGACACGTAATTCATGATGGAAAGCTCGAAGAACATTGAATTCCACCCCCTCAATGTCCATATCCTCCTCCTGTGGGAACAAGTGTGAATATAATATACTGTGCATTACTTTTGGTAAACCAGGATGATTGAGGCTGTGTCTCTAACCTGGAATAGGCAGGTGCCCACAACCACATATTGGTTCCCACCGTAAGCCAGGAGAGAGGCAGGGGTACCAGAGCTGAAAGGACTGAATTCAACCACATGAACATAATCCTCGCATGTCACAGTGTAACTGGGAGTGCGGCTAGAATCCTCCTGCATCCTGCAAACTGGCTTCAACTGTAAAAAGAAAGCAGAGAATCGTTTGTCTAATGATCAGCAAACAAATGATATTCAACACTGCAAAAAAAGCAACATCTGCTAAATTAGTCACCAATGTTCTGCTAATATTTTTTTTTTATTTATAGCTAGTGCTACTTCAAGTCATTCCTCCCATTACTGTAACAGGACTCTTTACATAACTATGTGCAGTAATAATTGTACTATACACACTTGTCATATACAGCCCACAGTTCAACACTTATTTTTATTTAATAAATAATGTCACTACTTAGCTACAATCTACTTGAATGTGTACTTCTGTGAATTGTAATCCATCCATCCCTGAATTGTAATTATTTTCTATTTTAAATACTATGTGCATGCCTTTTCATATTATAGTGTTCTAGTCTATTTTCTTCGCATGTATCTAAACTTTGCTGTAACAATGTACATTTCCCCTTTGCAGGACGAATAAAAGCAATTCTGATTCTGATTAATAAACAAAATATGAATTATTCTGAGCTAATGTAGACTGAAATGACTACTACTACATATATTAGGGAATAATATAGCTTTGAAAACTGTCATAAACTTTGCCACGCCATGTTATCAAGGTAGTCATTCCTTTAATATCTGTGCAGGAATTAGGCCACTGATGTTGCTTTAATGTGATATAGTCAGGGCAGGGGTGCACATAAGTGGTACGCAGGTACGCATGCGCAGAGACAATCTGAAACAATGTGAAGCTTTTCCAGAAGGCGGTTAGCGTCGGTCTGTACAGCAGCACTGCGCTAAAACAGCTGATGTGCTCTGTGGTCACGAAGCTCTGCACTCCCCCCCCCCGTTGACAATTTCCGCAATACAGAGGGCTTCATGGGAACTTTGAGAGAGCCAGAAGTTGGAGTACCAAACACTGACTCCAGATACTCATCTGAGTACCTCACTGAGAAAGTTGTGTGCACCCCTGGATATAGTGCCTTTATTCTTTAGGTCATTCAACATTTCTATTACTTACAGCTGTCAAACATTAAATAGTTCCTAAATGTCTGAGGAGCAGTGCCCTCATAAAATACGAATGCAATGATTGTTGTCAGTTGCTTGGAAAGCACATCAGACCAGACTTAATTATAATATTTACGTTTAATATATTGTATGTAGACTCGAGGCATCCATAAGCTAGCGGGTGGGTATTGTTACTAAGGTATATCGGCCACCATTAAATTCTGCAAAACAAATTCAAACCCACAAAGCAATGCCTAATTAATTTGTTTAACTCAGATGTAGATATTACCAGAACAAACCAGAGACCGGCAACGTTACGTCCACAATGAGGCTGGCAGGTTGCTATAAGTAAAAAATGTAATTTGGTTTAAGGAAAGCTAGCTTTATTTTAACGTTAACTTATGTGAGCTACATAAACGGTGTAGCTTCAGTGTACTTTGTACTAACGCTACACATAACGGTACTGCGACACCGGCTAAAGAGCTAAAACATGACAGATAACTAATGTTTCAAGTGAACAGCTAGCTAGCAATTAGCAATAAACAGGCTTATATTACACACTTCTTAATGTAACACTCCGACTAACAGCTTACTAGTTACGTCTAGGTTAAGAAAGCATATTCCGGTTCAGAATACATTAAAAGAATGATAAACCTTACCACTTTATTTTCAATAATTTCTTCAAATCAAACGGTGCGCGCGTTTGACATGTTTTCAAGCTGTTTCCGGGTACGACATGGAATGTTCCAATGAATAGAAATGTGAAGGGGGATTTTGCAAAGCTTAAAGGAAAATATCTAGATTGTGTTGCAATACATTTGCGTAGGTGAGCTATAAAGTACATGTTTTCCATTGAATGATTCTTCATTTATAATCTGCCACATATTTATTAAGAAACAATGCAGTAGAAAAACACTTTATCTGGTCGACCTCACCTTTTGTTGCTTACTTAAAGCTGATTGGTCAAGCGGCTAAAACGTCATCGGCAGTTTAAAAATTCAAAACACTGCTTCTTGTTGCGGACGTGTGTTGTCGGGGAAATCTACAATATCAGAGGTTCGCACCATTAAATTAACATTGTATTTCATGTTTTAAAGCCATAAACATATGATACTGTTGTTACATATTGTGATTTTTTATTTGGAATACATCGATTGAATCGATAACATTATGCCACCGAGGCCAACGAATCTGCAGGTTTACCTTTGAATTAAAAAGAAAATACATTTGTTTTTTTGGCTCATAGTCGGCTTTTATGTAGTAAAACCTGGTTGATTCAAAAATGTAGGAGAGTAACATTAATTGGCAATTCACTATATTTGTTGCATCGTTTTTTAGGCACGTTTTGATGAGTATTTTCCTGTTGTTTAAGGAGAAAATGGAGGCCCTTGGAGAGCGTCTGAAGGTGATGGTTAAAGTTTTCAGGAGAGAGGGCCAAAGGGTTTTACACTCTGAGAGGACCACCATTCATGGAGCTGATGGCATGCTCATGATACTCCAGCTGGCAATGGCAGAAGTTAACAAGCAGGTAACAGAATCAGAATCTCTCTAATTGAATTGTTGCTTAAATGCCTTATTCAACCCTTAATGAGAAATGTGTGGCCAGAAAGTACACACATGTAGACAAAAAATGTACTCACACACATTAAAATGGTCTTAAATGCAAATATGATCATGTAGGGAAAGACAGGAAATAAAGGTCAGCATTATCCAACAGCACTAGAGCACATTATATATAATGGCGCAAGTGCATGAACTATACACAGTATAAACTGGTCTCTTCTTGCAGTGTGGCTACTGATAATCTTATATGGACTCATTTAGCATTAAGCAATGGGAAGGATCTCTGTTTTGAGGTGAGGCTTACACCACATGCAGGGATGTGAACCATCAAATGAAATAACATTTTAAATATAAGAGGAATAAAACAGTCGGTATTCTTGCTGTAAGTTATCTGGCCCTAAAACAAAGCTGTAGGAGCCCAGCTCACATTATCATCATCGTCATGGCATGATTCAATTGAACCATCAGGCGGACTGTCATCACGTCTATAACCGATGACATTACCACAGGTTTCCGGCTGAGTACGCTCATGACCCATTTTTGGACGGCTGGAGACGGCCCTTGTGCTTTTGAACTGATTGGATCCAGGCCGTCAGTAATTATGGCTGCTGCTTTCACTGTTTTCTCTCTTCCTGTGACAGCACGGCCGAGAGTTCAAAGTGGCTCTGAGTGATGTCCTGATGGCCTGGAAACACTTACTATTAGACAAACTTCACCTGCCACCCCCCAACTCTGCACGCATGGAGAACTATGATCTCATCCTGGAGGCATATGAATCCTTCCTGAAGCGCTCCAACACGGTGGACCTGATTGATATCCTCTCCATGTACAAACAGCTGAGATTAGATGACTCGGACCCAGAGGAGCCTGTGAGCCCGGTGAGCAGAAATCAAACTGATGTTAACTTTGGATGATGACATTAGCTACCGAGTAAGAGATCAATTTATCTTTTTAATTACTTTTTTTGTTCTTTTGTAAAGATTCAGCTGTTTGAGTTCTTATCGAACAACGAGGAGGTCTTGGAGTTTCCAGACTCTGCAGTGCCGTCAACACCGTCTAGTAAAATCAGACCCTGCAGCTCACAGGTAGGCCCAGTCCTACTTTCACACACTTATAAAAGGTGCAACTTATTCCATAAACCACCATACGAAAAACACCTCTTTCCACTCGTACAACGTTTTCTCAGTGAAATAAAATGCTTTTTCTCCACCTGCCAAAAATCCATGCATTGACTTTCCCAATGTACTTTCCAAGTATTCAGCGTACTTAATTTAACTGGAAGATAGCATGCTCTTATTGACAGGGACTCTATATCATATCACTTTGATTTAACAGTGCAATGTGAATTAAATTACCAGGCAGATGTTTAAAAGAACACAATGTCGGGCTGGACAAGAGCTTCTGTAACTGAGTGTCTTTGCTCCACTTCTTCTGTCACTTGTGTATTTATGAGTCTTTAGAGGAGGCTTGCTGCTGCACACTAACTCAAGTGATGTAATTTTTGGAGTTTAATATGGGCTGTCAGCTGCTGTGTTTAGTGCTTTTACTCAGGCAGTAAAGCCACTGTCCATTGTAGGTAGTTTATAGACACAAACTGGACTTGTCTTCCATAAATATTGGATATGCTTTAGTTTAGCCTGTTTCCCATGACTGGAAACAGGCTAAACAGCTAGCCTGGCGCCATCTTAAGGCAGAATGGCCAAATATAAAGATATATTTCCCTAAATTGTTGAGTTTTCTAACAAAAAATGTTAATTATGCTTTCTAACTTCATTTTCAATAGGTGAAAATTGCAGTGAGAAGGGTGTTCTGCTCCTATCTGAGTTTGCTTGTGAACGTGAAGAATGACATGGCCTTGGCGCTAACCCTGGACGTCCCCAGTCGTGCTCTCGAACGTCAGGCATTTACCGACGTCAAGCATGCTGCACAAAACAACAGCACCTCTCTCTTCTTGGTAAGAAACACCCACACTCAGCATGTTAAGCGATGATGTATTCACACTTTACATCACTTGAAACTAAAGTCATCACGCTTAAATTGGAGTAATTCTCTCTGGCTGAACATTTGGGTCTTTTTCACCTTTTTTGTAGGCTGTGACATCTTTTGTGAGGATCATCCAGCTCGGAGGCAGAGGCTACGCTCCAGCTGAGTCTGACCCACTAAGGAAACATGTCAAAGGCCTGTCTGACTTTGTTCAGTTTCTAGACAACCTGGAAGAATTACTCGGGGAGATACCCGACCCAAGGTACACAATACGCCTAATCCACTTCCAGTAGCTCCCTGTCTTGCTGATGCCTTCAAAGAAATGACTCCCGCCCTGTGACAGAAATTGGCTGTTAATGTTGGAAGGCAGAGAAGTTCTCCATTGAATTTGTATCTGTGGTTCTACAGTGTTTTAAAGTATCTTGTTTTATATACAAACCAGATTAGGCAGCAATTCTTGATAGCCACAGGGCATGGAAAGTTCTAGGAAAACTCAGAGCCGGCCCGACCTATTAAGCGACATAAGCGGCCGCTTAGGGCCCCACAGCCACTAAGGGACCCCCTAGCAAAAGATACACAAAAAAAAACACAACCTCTTTTTGTGACAGATTATTGCAAGAAATTATAATTCTTCTGAATGATATTCCTATTGACAGATAGTTTCTATGTGAACATTATGAAATGGACAGCCAGAGAGAATAAATGAAAAACAGTTATGAAATACTATATGACAAAACAAGAATACAGTTTAAGTGATTTGTTAAATATCTATAAAGAAAAATCTGCTTACAGTTCTGTTTCATATGGGTGTTGAGATGTATCCATAGATCTCTTAATTTTGCTCTCAAAGTACACCAGATTGATGCTTTTAACTTCAATATCTAAAAAGCTTAGAGGACTCCCCTAGAGGAGGTTAGGTCCACTGTGTTTACATGCTTATTTATAAAATATGTGTGCTTATTGCTTAATGCTAACATCATATGACAAAAGTTGGTTACGTGTTGTGTGTAGTGAGAACACGCTAGAGTTAGGGGGGCCCCCCAAGCCAAAGCTCGCTTAGGGCCCCCAAAAGTATAGGGCCGGCCCTGGGAAAACTCATTGGGTTTGTTCTGGTGAACTGATCCTCATGCTTCAACAAGTGACCGTCATGGACTATTCGTTCAATCTTCTTGTCTGTGGTCCACTCAGATACTCAGAATTTCAAACAAATGACTATATTGTGGTTTATAATCTTCAGTGGTTTTCAATCTTTCAATTAAATCAAATATTTTTTTTAAAAGCCTGGCTCTGTCCAAGTGCATTAACGATTCTACCTACCAGCACCTTCAAAGCTCTTTATTAATAATACGTAAATAATGTTTGTTCGTCACGTCCAAAAACATGTAAAAACGTAATTTGGCTGTTTTACAAGTGGTTATGTTATTGCTTGGCCCGACAATACGTTCCTGGAATCTCTGAGAGTGGTCTCCGATAATGAGTACAACAGGGTTTTTTCAGGATTTCTTGGTCACTTTTTATTAAAATCTACTCAAACTGACTTTTCAGCCGCCGATTAATGTACATCTGTTGCTCTTGGGAGTATTTCGAGCAGCAGAACAGTCTATGTGGGATTGAGTCTAACTGAACTACAGTCTGTGTTTGTGAATTCTTAGCAGTTCGCCTAAGTTGCCACATTGTTCTATCAGGGTCACTTAGCCAGTACAATAAATCTCTTATTTGTATTGGCTGATCTTACACCTGCTAAAACAATCCACTTACCACATTTAAATAATACATTGTTACAAAATGCTGTCGTTACTTTATTGGATTCTAATAATCTAATATACACATATTCCATTTCCAGATAAATCAGCCTGACCTGATTAGGGGAATACTGAGATTCCAAGAAAGTTGAGCATTTTTTCTGGCAGCAGCTGAAGAGGAATGTTCTTTGAAATGCTTACTTCTTCCTGCAATTCGAGTACAGGTTAAATTATATTTCCTAGCAGGCGGGTCAATACAATTATTTTGAATAGAACTAAATTCTGTTGTGTGTGGGGGCCCCTGCTGCTATTACTAGTAGGAATGTTTACAGTCTGGATGACACTTTTGCACGAAAAATCACAGCTGTGATCATTAAATAAATCTGTTCAGCTCTTTATTATTTCCTTCAAATCCCTGTAATGACTCCCATCTCTCATGATAACCCTTTGGATTGCTGAAGCATGTTCATCTTTTCCACATCAAAGCCGGTCTCTGTTAAATAACTTGTTCCCCGTTTAGAGCTCAAGGTTTGATGATAATTCATTTCAGAAGGAGCTCCACAGATCCCTCTCCACACCATTGCAGATTATATTTCGATGTCAAAGCATTTGGCGCCACAACAAAAGCGGTTATCAGGAGTGATTCTGTCGTTTAGTCATGTGAGGCTTGAATCGAGGTGAATCTGTTAAAGGCTCCCTTTGTAGCAGGCCCAGTAGCCACGTTATCTTCAACACATTGTGATGTTTATGTAGCAGTGGATTCGACTCACCCTGCTCTTCTGAGGGTTTTCAGTTCATGCAGGCTGATGAGGCACGGATGAACTCGGCCAACATGTGTCTTTCAACAGGCAGTGCCTTGACGCTCTCAGTGGAGTACTGTATTTCCTCATCCAAACACCTTCTATGGAGAGTTCAGGGCCCCTTGTTCACTGAACATCTGTTTTCCCAAATGATTCTGTTACTGAGCCCCGCTCACTCACATCAGAGCCGGGTCAGGGTGGGACCACCGCCTCTTCACCTTACTACAAACTCTTCTAGTATATTTTTCCTTTTTTCTCTCCCCCTGCATTATTTTTATTTTATTTTATTAAACATTGACAGGATTACAGAACAGATTTGAGAGGTGAAACAGATAATGAGAATACTAAACAGAAATGTAGGTAATGCAGGATTTGGAGAAAAAACACCTAAATGCAGTTTAGATGAGATTAGATAGATTTTCAGGAATATTTTGGGATTATCTATGCCTAGAATGCTCTATGCAGGTAAGATGTTCAGTGTCATTGATTCCTTGGGAACCTCTTTCCAGAATTTCTGAAAAAATACACATTTTAATAAGTGTTAGATGTATGTGCCTTCTGCTATTTTGTAATTGTTCCAAAACGTAGATCTTCTGGCATGCTTTAAAGCATGTGCCTGTTAGAAAAGTTAAGAAGTGATATGCTTTTTGGAGCACCCACAGTGTGCGAGCATGGGCGAAATATCTCTGAAAACTATAAAGAGGAAAGTCCTGGAGTATGTCTGCGAGAGAGTCCATCGCAGTGACTGTGCCCAGTGTGACTTTAACAGGGATTTGAAGCACAGTTTCTGCCTCATACAGTAACTGTTAACATTGGCAAAGCAGAGTCACAGAGAAAAAAAAAAGGATTACTGGATGTTACCACTGAAACAATTACTCTGAAATCTTTAAGTCGGTGTCTCATTAATTGGAAGTGAAGCTGCAGTATATCTTTTTAAGGCATTCAGAGGAAGGCCTGGCTCTTCTGTGTTTTCAGTTTTAGGAGAGAGTTATTCATGTTGGCAAATATTGGCTGAACTCTTGAACACTATTAATTCCATCCAGATGAAAACCTGTATGTGTGTACTGCAGAGGAATCTATTTCTTTTCAAAACAAAGGTAGGTTTTTGTCTTGACCTGCCAAACAATACTCCCTGTATATTTTGACTCTCATTGTTTTTATTCTCAGTGTGTGTGGAGCCCGGCTGGTGGCTGCCATCAGGGCGGTGCTGGTGAAGGGACGCAGCAGTGGAGATGCAGTGTATGCTGTGTCTGAGGAGACAACAAAGGAGCTGAAGGAGAGGATTTGCCAGCTATATCAGATCCAGAAACAGATTGCTAAAGGAAGCGGGACTGGGATAAGCCCTGCCAGGGTAATACATAACCTCTGCTCGTTTTTGGAATCCATACAATTGTATAAAACCCACTTAATCTTCTCCAACAGTGTACTGATTGTGGTTGTGTTGTTCTTCCTCTTCAGCCAAAGGCGCACACAGTCAATCACTGCACTGCGTACGGAGGTCGGGACACTGTGAAGGTGCTGCTGGCTCTGCTGGATGAAGAGGCCCTGGCTCCCCCGTCTCAGAACAAGGCGGACCTGCTGTCTGAGGACCAGCCCGTCCTCAGTGGGGCAGAGGGGACCTGCATCCTCAACTTGTTCAGGTTGGCGCAAACACATGAGACATGGCCCTTTGTATTTTTGAATGGGAGCATGTTCTTTGGTTATAGTTGTTACCACAAGCTGTGATCCTGGGGAAAGTTTGTTTGATCATGTGTATCCCTCTGTCTGTCAACAGCTAATCTTTAAAGGTCCCCTATTATACTCTTTTTCATCAATATGGTTATAGTTCTCAGTTATATACAAAACATGTCTCTGAAGTGTTTGGCTGAAATGCCAAACAGACCTTTGTAGCATCCCATAATCCCCTCTGTTTCAGCCCTGTTTCAAAAGTGCTGATTCTCTGTCTGCTACTTTAGATGAAAATAAGGAACCACTCCCCATGCCCAGCGGTGGGGGACTAGAGTCACATGACTTGACTCGAGTCAGACTATTTTTGGGCTTGAGACTTGCTTGACTAACATTGATAAAAGACTTGACTTGACTTTGACTTGGTATTCATGACTTGAGACTTGACTTGACTTGAGACAGATGAGTCGAAAGGACTTTTTAAAATTAAATATTTGTTTTTGGATTGTGCGGAGCCCCTAAAGGGCAATGAAAAAAGATACTGTATCTCGTTCGCACGAGAAAGTTACCGGAGCGCCAACTAGGAAGTGGAGCGCACAGGAGACAACCGTTGGGAAATGGCAGTGCATACATTATTTTAGATATATTTCGAACTCGGACTCTCATTCACTTCATGAAATCGCTACAGCACCAGGAGGCAGCGGGACGTGTAACTCCGCCTCTGAGAAGTGCAGCACCAGCGCTCAAAGAGCTGTACCTTTTACGCAACGCCTTCACTGTGTTGACTTTCATTAGAACAGCTAAAGAGCGACCGCAGGCTGCTACTTTTAACCACACACACCTCTACACACATCGAACTGCCCGATTAATCCCCATATTACTCGTTTTATGAAGGAGATGTCCGGTCACTAAGGCGCATGATGTGTGTGTGTTTGTGCTCTGCTCAGCTCTGCGTGTGTGTTTGTGTGTGTCCGACAATGGCATTTGTTTTCAAATGACCATGAACAGTAATTTACACACATCTGGCCAATTCCATATGTATATGTGGGTGCTCCCAAATGAAAGACATTTGTTTAATCTTAATGTCGCACTGTCTGCGCACACACACGCACACACACACACACACACACACACACACACACACACACACACACACACACACGTGCGTGTGTGTGCGCAGACAGTGCGACATTAAGATTAAACAAATGTCTTNTTTGAAATGCTCCCGATTTCTGAGGTCCCAAGGTTGGCAAGTATGCAGGTAGGCCATCCAGTTATTTTAGCCGGGCCGGCTAACATGATTTGTCGTGCTTTTTACGGTACTACGGCTTCCACAGATGACATTTTTGTATGGATTTTTTGTCAAAGCACTTAAGATATTCATTGCTATCGGGATGTTAAGAGCATTCCATGGAATATAACAAAAAGTGTATCTCGAGCCGGTTTCTCAAATGTACCTACCCCACCTTTAACGAACAAATTTGTATATTAGTATACGTTTTAGGGGTACTGTTTGGCAAGCTAGCCACGAGAGCTTTCCCGCTTGTTTCTTTCTTTATGCCAAACAAAGCTAACTGGCTTCTGGATGCAGCTTGATATTGTGGGCTGAGTCCTAAAACACGGAAATGATTAAGCATTTTTGACTAAACATTTTACCATATCAGCTAAATGACTAATATTTTCAACGATCAATATTGAATACTGTTTTTATCTGTCAACATAGGAATTTGCTAGTTTACTTTTGTTCTTTAATTATTTACAAATTACATAATCGACATGGCAGCTGAAATGTTAACAAAGTAGCTTTTAGAGCCATTCTGGTTCTCGAAGATTTTCAGATATAAAGTACAAACCAAATACTTTGAATAGAACAAAGCCTCAGTCAGCATTAATATGCCATGAATCAAATCATTCAATATCAATTGAGGTACGAAGTGCACTGCAGCTACAAAACGCCCTCAGAAAACTTGTCTCTGGTACCTGAAATATAGCTTATAATGTCATAAATAGCAAGGTTAGCCAGACAAAAGTCCTTCTGTGTGTCTGATATATTTAAAGAAAGCTACAGCAACCAACTTCAAATGATGTGACTATGATTCCACCATTTTAGTTTGTGACCTGTGTGAAATAATGATCAATAAAGTTTAAAAAGTGGTGCTGAAACATTCACAACTCTTTGAGGTGTTAAATGAGAAAACATAATTTACATCACTGTCCAAGAAAACTGTTTGATTAGAGCGCTGTTATTTTTGGTGCTCTATTGCCTTCTGTAGAAAAAAAATACTGACACATTGTTCACCATTCCTGCTGAATAAACCACTTGTCAACATCACATAAATGCCTGGAGAGTCTTTTTTAATGCAGCATGTACATACACTACATATTTTCTGATTTAAAAGGACGAAATTACTGAAATTTCACATTGAAATAAGTATTCGGGTCCTTTGCTATGACATAGGTGCCTCACTTGACTATCTTTGAGCTGTTTCTTCACCTTGATTGGAGTCCACCTGTCCTGAGTTCAACTGATTAGAGATCAGGCACACACCTGATTATATAAAGGCCTCACATCTGACCCGCTGGCCTAAAGACAGGATTGTGTCGAGGCACAGATATACAGAAAAGGCTACAAAAAATGCCTGCTGAAATTATTTAAGAGCACAGTGGCATACTATAGAGTTGTCTATCAGGCAATACTCAACATTAGGGGGAAAAGGGCCTTGTTAAGGCCAAGAAATTAAGTTTAACTGAGCTTCAGAGCTCCTTTTGTGAATGCAAGAAACTTCCAGAAGGACAACCATAACTCCTTCGTGAAAGACATTGGAAATCATGTTTGAGTTTGCAAAATAGCTGTACAGCTTGTTGCTTTATACCCCAGAAACTTTTCAATCACTTTGCACAATCTGAGATTGATGAGGTGGGACATTTGTTTAAATTATTTTAGTAGAAGGCTAAAACATAACAAAATGTGAACGGGTTCAGCTCTATGTGATTCCACTGCACACTTTTAAAATCACCTTGGAATATCATCCTGTAAAGCAGTGATACTCAACCTGGGGGCCACATTTGGTTCAAAATAGCAGCCAAGAGGCATGCTGACCATTTTCTTATGCAGAATGAAAATAAATTGATTTTTACAATGCTAAAAATGTGTTTTCAATGTAAATACTATGCCCTGAGTGGATTAAAAAGCATACAAATGGACTATATACTATCACTTGCCCATGAGCCCCTTTCATTTTGCAATAGTGCAAAACAAGTCAAGATTCCCTGCTCCAAAGGCATATTATGCAACATCACACACTGGTAAACTCTACAACCATTATGATGAACCCAAAGCTGAGGTTTTTCTCTCAAGCATGTGCAAATCTTATAAGAAATCTTTGCCATATGAAGCCGTAATTCAAGCTGAATCTCTGTGCATCGTGCACTGTGAAGCTGAGTGTGTGCTGAATGACAAAGTGATACTTCCTAAGAGGTGGCGGAGTCTGCCAAAGCAAACACAGCGGGGCGTGGTGCTCCCAGAGGCCAGAGCTGCATGTTCAGCTCTTTGGAGGATGCTCGCAGTGACAGCACGGAGCTCTAACTCACTCACTGTCAGCATTTTTTCTCAACGGATGAATGTTGGATAACAATAAAACTCTAATAAATTATCTCTCTGGCCGGAGCACAGCAGTCGGCGGATATCAAAATGTGGAGCAGCAGCAGCAGGGAGGTTGGCGAGGTCCCGGCCACCCTGGATGTTATTTCATCCGTCTCTATGGCTAATACAGAATCAATTATCTCACCCTAATGGTCCAATTGCAGGCTGCAAGCTTGCAAGATTTAGAGTTCAAATAAATCTGAGAGAAAATGTGAGCAGAGTCCTTTCCAGTGGCGAGTAACCAAGCCATCACAAATAAGCCAAAATATAATACGGATGTTTCGGTATCATCCAGTTGTAATTATAATAAAATACAAACCCCAAGATGTCTTGAAAATGCTCTGTTTATCCTCTTATATGTGCTAATTTTGGATTACATGGTGACTCAATAAGTGCAATGCAATGATGTTTTAAGAACCTCAAAACCACACTGAAAAAAACGATCGGTTTCCCATTGATCTGCGCACACTCAGGATACAGTGCATCTGAGGACACAGATTTTGGACCAAGCTTTGAAACACAATCTCTCCACACTCTTCAACTCCTCATCTTAAGCACACAATTGTCTTTTGAATGACCTTGTGGTCTGTTTTACAATTTCACTACTTATTCTATTGGTTGTTTTACAGGAAAAGTGGTTGTAAGGCTTCATCAGTCTTCAACCATTCTTTTTTTTTTTACCAATAAAACACACACGATTTCCTGCGTTTGTCAATTCAGCATTTGTTTCTTCACAAAAACTCTCAAATCTGAAGGCTAGCATCCAGCGTTGGCTTGTGATAAGAGGATCATTACACATTTACAGGTAGCTGTTTTTATTTTTGAGCCAAGGCCAGATGTAAAAGGAAACAGACACACCTTGAGTCCAACAAGTGCACCTTGAGCCTCGTGCCACAACGGGATGTGAGGACTTTGGTAAAAGCTTCTGTGAAAGACAAAAAAGGAAAGTGTTAGTCCAAACCATTGGAGGAGATTCTCCCTCTTTCTCAATTTCAGTCGACAGTGGAAATTCACTGAGGCTTGATTATAGCAGGAGAGAGTGTTGGCTCAGCTGTGTGCTTTAAGAACCCATGATGTCAGAGCCTTATTTTCCTTGGAGGGACTCTCATCAGCTGCATTGTTCCAGGAAACCATGGCCTGTTCTCTGGGCAAAATGTGGTCCCCTCTTTTTGCACCCGCATCTCTGCTGAATGCAGCACACTGGCCACTGGCACAACTCAAGTCTCCTCAGCAGTAACACACAGATATCAGACATCATGCGTGGACCGGCATCACATTTCCTTCTGCTGCGCCACTGTTTTATATTTTCAATTAGGAGACAAGTGATAAAATACAGGGAGAGAAACGTATGTGTTTCCCACTGATCATTATAAAAAATTTCTGATAGTCATAGAGCCCATACTTCTAAGGTCTCTTGATGCATAAAAGCTGTAGGTGGTGAACACAGCAATGCCAACTGACAGGTGATGCAAGCAGCCAATGAAGAAAACTCCCCTGCAGCTTTCCTCAAATAAAAAAATTGAACTATTTACGATGCTGAATCAAATCTGGACCAAATTACAACGCATACAAACAAGACCAAATATGAATAAGAGACGGCGCAATCAGTAGTTAAATAAACTTTACTGGCACACGTTGAAGATTTTGCAAGCTTTGTTGTGGAAACATAAAGATTTAGAAAATAATGTTTCTGGATACCCACCGATTTCACATCTGTTGCTCATAAGATTATTTGAATCTTGGCTTTTTTGCTAATGTTCTTTGTTAAAGAATTATGGTAATGGTTTCTAAGAAAATTCAGAACATGGAGAAATCACCGTTACCAGATTATGTCCTTCACCACGGCTCAAAGTTCATTGAATCTTCCCCGAGTGTGCAAAGGAAGAGGAGCCAGGAAGCTTTGGATTCGGAGGCATTGATTTGTCTGCTGTCCATATCAGTACGTTAATGCTGCTTATATCAGGAGAAATATGGGAAAATGGGAAGGGATATTATCAGAAGGAGAGAAAGAGCGAAAAAGGTTACAACAACAGAGCATTAAGCTCACAAGTTCAGTTGTGCTTCTGCTGGAACGGCCGTGCCCCTGTGGAGTCAGTTCAGTTCTTCAGAAGTCCTCGCCCTCCAACAATAATACTTACAAAATAAAGGCTGACCGCTCCAAGTAAAATCACTTCAGCTGAGTTCAATAGCTATTATTCATGCCCCGGCTCTCCATCCCCTGTGCTACGGCTCCTGTGATGTTAATAAGGCCTTTTGAGCCGCGAAGAGCTATGTCAACATTAAGACCCTTTGGTTTCTGCTTGCCTCCGCCTTAATATTGTTAGCTGATGATGGTGTGGGAGCTTGTCGATCAAATGCTCCCAAGGCCTGATTACAGAGCTGAAGCATATCACATTCTTATTTAAATAAATAGTCAGTAGTAGGAAATATGTTTATTTGCCTTCTTGTCGAGAGTTAGATGAGAAGATTGATTCAACCATCAGCTATAGTATCTCAAAGCTCTCCAATTAACATCCTCTATCATGTTTGTTTAATCTGTACTATAACAAGTGTATGCCATAGAAAGAGAAAAATCTTCAACCATTCTAACGCCTCTGTGACGCTATCCTCTCCCGCCCCGCACATTTCCACTGGATTTTGTGGCACGGCTTTTCTCAATGTGACTTTTTTTGGGGGGGGGGGGGGGGTTCCCATTAGCTTTATCCAAGGGTTTGGATGCTAATATAGCCACATTGACAAAGCTGACATGAAAAGTTGGTTTTAAGCAGGTGTAATGTTATCTTTGTTCACCAGTGCAGTTTAGCATGTTAGCATGCTAACTCTGACTCTCAATAGGCATTTCCTAAAATGTCCTTTTAAATGTATTTTTCTTTTATTGGATTAGTAAGTTATCTTTGGTCTCAGCAGCGGCTATGGTTTAGAGGCTTTCATTCATGTAAATGACCTTTCTGGATGGTTCATTGTAGGGTATTTTTAAGCCATGTACAACATTCAGACGATGCCCTTCAGAGAAAATTACATTCTTTAACTTATGAAAAGGCATCTTTAATTCAGCTCTGTCAGTGTCTCACCTGCTGGGTTCTTTTCAGCATGTGGATTTTGATGAAAAAGATTGATGATTATTTCCTGTCCTTTGACCTGATGAGAGCCTTCTTGACGCTGCTCTCTGATCTTTTGAAAAGTACAGCCCTCCATGTTTCACCACCATTATCCATTTGAATTCATCACATCTCTAAACAGACACAAGAGAGCCATTAACCTTCTTCTCCACGAAGGAACACCTATCAATGAAATGACATGACCTTACATCTTCCTGTGACCCTCGGCCTTTAAGACGGATGCACCTCTGCAGGAGACATGACGCTTCTTGACACGTAACAGTTATAATTGTAAGCAAAGAACCCTCTCACTGAAAATATAAAGACGCCTGTGAGCCCAGTATCACCACTCGTCAGCTGAGAGAAGATCAGTCAAACAGAACAGAACTAAACCTTGTAGATATACCATGATCTCTGTCTACTCTTTCCTGTACACTCTGGTGCTGTTCTCAGAGCTGAGCAGCCACTATGTCACTGTAGCAATGCCTGCAGCTAAAGTAGAAGACGGAGCGATGGAGCAGGATGGCCTCTTCCTGGAGGATGAACCCATGACTGAGCCCGCCTTGGTTCCCGCTGCCTACAGACGGAACTTTGTGCTGGACACCAACAAGAGGGACGAAGACGGGAGTCCGAAAATCATCATCGTCTCCGTAAGTGTCACATCGCAGAGCTTTATTTCAAGTTTGAGGTTGTTAACAAATAGCTTCTAACATAAAATACTGTACATTTTAAGATACACAATTCTAACAAGTTATCAACACAGAAATGTTTTAACTTTAGTTAAGTATTCGTTTGCAGTTACAAAGCTAGCTTTCCAACCTTATCATTTATATTGCTAAGTGATTCCATTCTTTGAGTTGGTGTGTTTTAAGCAGATTTTTTCTTTGTTACCAAACACAACAAAAAAAAAAGATATTTTTATTATTTTAAAAGATACTCTTCGGAAATGTATCAAGAAAGCAGAATGGCTATGAGTGTTAAGCTGTTATCTTTATTAGTGGTTGATAAATCTCTACTAGTGATTTCAACATGACTTTTGCTTTATGGATGGAGAAGTTGTCATTCTTTATTGTTGTGAGCATCTTTTCTTTTGTTATTTGAATGAACCGACCCTTATAATCCATTATTTCTACTTCAAATTAATCCAATCTAAATGTACCGGTTAAAGGTGGGGTAGGTAATTTTGGAGAAACCAGCTCGAGTGCGCTAGAATTTGAAAATACACAGCCGGAAAACATCTGCCACTTGCTTACAGAGCCCCTCCTCCAACACACACAAACGCGCACATGACCAATGAGGGCACGAGATAAGTTTGTGCACAGATGGAAGGCTGACAGGCAGGTAGGCCATCCAGTTATTTTAGCCGGCCCGGCTAAAATGATTGGTCATGCTTTTTACAGGGCTACGGCTTCTTAAGATATTCATTGCTATCGGGATGTTAAGAGCATTCCATGGAATATAACAAAAAGCCGAAACTTACCTACCCCACCTTTAACTGGCATAATATTGGTTAACTTATCCCAAATAAATGTACTGTATCTAGCTAGTCTCAGCTTGCACCCACCCACTGAACTCCACCAAAAAAGTCATGCATCATAATTATTTATGGTACGACATTTCTTTCCATAAACAACCGCAGTAAACTGTAGTTCAAAAACAACAGAGAGCAGATTATCTCCATCCTCTGACTGAACATTTGACCCCTTTCGATTGGTCGCCATCCCCATGTCTACTGTTAAGTCAATATTTCATACACTGCTATAAAAAACTTTTACAGCAGCACTGGAAAACCGGTAAAGCTGAGAAAGGTCAAATGATCACAAGCCTATAAAGATTTATTGGAATCACAGTGGGAAGAATGATGATATATCTGTGTTCCCTCAAACGCTTGGCTGCGATGTGTTAAGAGTTTATCTGGCGGTTGTGTCTCCTGTGTGTCATGAACATGGTGGTTATCTCTGCGGTAATGGGGAACAGGCAGCCATGTTGGAGAGAACAAAGCCATCTGGGTGGAAGAAATGGTCCACTGTGATAAAATAAAAAACGGGGGAACACATTTCTTCCATTTGGGGTTCCTGTGGCTTGGATCAGCTGGGTTAAGGCAGATCCAACACCTGTGCTGCCTGCAAGTGAAAAGATAATCTTTAAAAGCTGTTGCTGCAACTGTGATGATCCAGAGTTCAGATCCTGCGGTGCGGAAATGTGTGTGGTCTTGAATTGTCACATGTGATACTGATCAATGCTGTGTTTCAGGACATGGGGCTGAGAGGGCAGAGTATTCGTGGGCTGAACCCGGCCTTCACCCACAGCTTTCCTCTGCTCACAGACCGAAGCGTGAGTCGCACCCCTGCTGAGCACATTTTGAAAATTGACCGCCGAAACACTGACCTTGACAGTAAGTACCTGCCAAACCCATGATTGTGTATTATTGTGAAGATAAGATTTAGAAATGCCTCCTTTATATCTGCTTTTTAAAAATATTTTACAATATTCCTATGGTAATTTGTATATCTATTATTTAAATTCACATATGTAAACATTTCTTAAAATTATAATTTTTTTAATTAATTTTCTTTGAGAGATGGGGGTTGTTTCATTGGGTATTTTTTTATTCCAGCATTTGTGGAATACATAAAATCAGGATCAAATGTCTTGATGTTCATATTAACTTTTGCTAAATGTTCTAACGTTCTTTATTTTTTACTTCTAGTTATGCGATGTATGATAGGAAGAGTGTACCGACCCTGCTGGGAAGCATAAAGGCTCCCCCCCATCCCCCCCGAGCAGCCCTCCTGCACTGAAAGTGCTGTACAATTTCTGCCTTATGTGTCACACTGAAATACATTCCCTTGTTGAAAATGAGAGCTCACAAACATGTAAAACAAAATAAAAGTTTATTAAAAGTGAAAAGTTTGCATCTTATTTACATACTTGATTTTGCTGAGGAACAAGTTAAATAAACTGTACAACTAGTGATATAAATATTTCAAGTAGGACTTTTCTTGATGAAAGGAAATGTACTGGCCAAGTTTCCAATGATCTGCTATCAACTGATAAACCCACATGTTTCACTGTTGAGTGGGTACATTAGTGAGGATACCATGATTTGCATAGTAAATCAATAGAAAATTAATGTGCCATGATTTTCTCAAACAAATGAAAAACTAACAGAATGTCTTAAAACTTTAAAATGATCTATATGCTAAATGCTACGGGTTGTCAGTTAGCTTAGCAAATCTCTGCTCTGCTCTATGCTATATTAGCGTAAAACCTGCTAGCTTCAAATTTAACATACCGTCATCTATCTTTGATCAAGTTAACAAACATTTTCCAAAAGGTATTCACTTAAACGAAAGCCAACAGATCAACTGAGACTCAAAGTAATGATTAGTTGCAGCCTTAACTGGAACATTCACACACTAAATAACATTTAGCTGCATCATAAAATGATTAAAAATGATTCATTAGACCCTGAAGAAGCTTGTAAGCTTTCCCTGTCCAGCTATCAGCTTCTTCTTACTCAAGGCCTTACTGACATTCTTGCCAGGCATTTTGACTGAGACAGCAGTGAGCTGCTTCTTCTCTGGGGGCTCGTTCTCCGACCCTTCATGTTGGTCAGAATCCACCTGCTTCCTCTTGTTGCCCTTTCCCTGCGCCTGAGTGCCATTTTTCTTTTGAATGCCCGGGCCTGCAACTCTTTTTTGGGCATTTCCACTTCTTGGCCCAAGAACAGCCCCCTGCTGCACACCGCTCTGCTCCTTATTCAGGCATTCATTTGTAGACTTGGCTGGAAAGATTGAAACAAAGCAAAAGCAAGTGTGACAACCTGCTAGAGAAAAACTGGGGGAAATGCTGTGACGAATTTGCTGACGTTAGCCGCTAGTGGAGGCAGGCAGTTTGTTTATTCTGTGGAGCTGAAATTTAACATTTGTCATGTAACTCGATGGAGCTGAGCCTGAATTCCCACGGAACAAAAGGCAGAAGGGGAAATGGGCAAAAAGTCTGTGAGTGTGTGCTTTCGGGTTTTTACTACAGTTGTGGGTGTGAGCAGGTTTTATAGAATGGGGATTCGTTTAATGGGTAAGTACCAGTCCCAGTGCCGGGGCTGTGAAAGGTTCAAGGCTGGAGCTGAGAAGGCGTTCCCGGGCCTCCATCCAGCTGTGTGCGTCAGAGGAAACAGAAATCTATCCCAGCAGAAAGGGAATGCTGCACCGCTTGTGTTGACATTTTAAGCTTTTCTCAGCATGTAGTGGAGCACAGAAAGTAACTATAGGATTTGAGGAGTTTAAGCTTGAGTTTGTACCTTTGGTTTTGACCTCCACATCAGAGCTGCACTCCTTGTCCACAGGGGGGGTGTTTTTGGGTTTGGGTGCTGGGTGCACACAGGTGGGCATCTGGCTGCTGCTGGGGAACTCCAGCACACGGTTGAGTGGCAGTTCTTCATCCTTGTATGTGCATGCAAACTGGGATCGAATGACCCCCTTTTTGGGCTGGATGAACAGAAAGAAACTTGTTAGTCCATCTGATATATTGTCACATAGTTGATGATCATTATCAATGGCTCAATGCAGCTGGCCCAAGTTTCCTTAATTCCCGGCTTTTATATTGATGTTTGAAACCAAAAAGCCCCCTTGAACACACTGCTATTTCAAGAATGTCTAGATAAATTAGATGGCAGGGGATCCCCAAAGCCCTTAAAAGTCATCCTCCAGGAACATTGAATATCTGTGCTATTGTCCACAGATTTCACCTAAAAACAGAAATGCAAAATGGTTGTTGATCAGTATAAATGACTCTGGACTTGTGGCCAAGTACATGGCCTTCACATTATACTTTTATTTTGTTGTTCTGAAAAACAGTGCTCTCAAAAAGAGAGGATGGGGCAAAAACTATATACATCAAATATATGTTTTATTTTGTGTGAGACTTTACAACTACAGTCCACACACAGTCTATTCAGGAAAAATAAATAAGAAATTATTTGAAAACCGTGATAATGCCGTTTTCAACCTCTAAAATATGGAGTTTCCTGTTTTTGTTTTCTTTAAGAAAACTGGGCTGGAACTGTTTTGCAGAGACTCAACAATTAAAATATTACTCATTAGTTATGAAAATATTTGTCATTTCTGCCAATCAATTTTTTTGCAGAGGGGACAGAGAAATAAATCTGAACAGAATGTCTAACTTGATGATTTGACGAGTAGGGTACGAAATACTGCTTTAAATAAGGGGGATAGTTAAGATAAATGCATTTAAATATCAGCTGAAGCCAATGCGCGTGTCGTCTTACATTTAAAGAAGGCCATTTAAGTTGGTTATACATTGTGCAGTGATGTGTACGAAAAGGACAACCAACAGGACATTCTGTTTCTCCAATCTTATCACAATTACATGTCTGAAACAGTAGAGCAGCACCTCATTAAAATCCTCTTCGGATAGCCTAGTTGGTTATAAGAAAGTGAATGATACCGAAGGCTACAATCCTGGCCCTGGGGCACGCAGATCCACAGCTTTACAACCACTGTTTGATCTACGCCTGCTTGGGATTATCACAATCCAAGGATTTCACCCTTCAGGCCACAGTCGGGAGGGAACATTCTGAGGGAAAAATACAGTGAACAAAGCTGGGTGGGTCCATAAAGCACAAAAGGGATCAAAGCCTTTGTGCTTTTCAAAATAACTTCTTAAAAAGGAGCACCTACAACAACAGCTACCCGGAACAAGGCACACTTTAATAGTGGAGCTAAAAATGTATGCTGCCCTGGTTGCATGCTAATAAAACATATCTGGAATGCCCCTGAAACACTGGGAGGGGACGGAAGAGTGAACACAGCCAAACTATGACTGACGGATAACGTCTAATCCAATTACAACAGGTGGGAGCGCAACATGGCACCATGTGGTCAGAGAGCCCTCGTTGGGGAGGAGATGCCTGTCCTTAAATAACCTCCGCACACCGACTGACCCCACGCTGGAGACACCTGACCAACACATTCCTGATTTACTTCCAAAACAGGTGCAAGCAATTTCTGCAGCTTTGCTTCTTGACACGAAGGTATATGAAGTGAGAACAGGTGCACCATTACTATTATCACCATCAGAGACCGATCCCAGATAATGGAATGGATATTTTCACAAACACCTTCACTGACGTCACAGAGGAGCAAAACATAGTTATATCTGGGTTTGGATCGTCTGTGGCACAGAGACAAGGAGTTGGAGAGGTTCCAAAAGCAGAAACTAAATCTGTCCATCTCTGTGTGTGCCAGTTGACGTCAGTGCATGATGAAACCGCTGGAGAAGTCTGGGATGAAGTTGTTCAGCAGACAACAGGAAACAATAACCTTTCAGGTTTTCCCCTTGCTAGTCGAATTACGCGACTGATATGGCATCTTCAAAGTGAAATTGATGCAGAAAGCTTCCGCTCGCAGAGTTCAGGAAGCGGTGAGCTGCCCAGGGACCATTACAGCGCACTCAAACAGGAAGGCGGCCAGATTGTGGGGAGCTAAAATGACATCTGCTAGCGCAATCAAATAAAGGAGCCATTTCACAAAATGTGTTTAGCATACATGTTCAAAAAGGTGTTCACATAGTGGAGCTGCTGTATTTCAAAAAGACCAGTCCTACCTTCAAATCTAAAGCAGGTCTTGTCAGTTGTTTTTTGGGTGACTCAGCAATTGTGGAGTGTATACAGTGGTGGAAATAAGAAGAAGCATGAAGGTCGATTGATTTGTTTTCCCTTTACAAAAACCTTGATTTAAATCCCTTAAAAAGGATTAACTAATTTTGAATTGTATATTTATAATATTGTGGGACATAAAATGAACTCCACTTAAACCTGGTGCCTACATTACCCATAATGCAAAGCCAATGCTTCCAGACAGTTTGGACATTGAGGTGTGTTATGATAGTATCCAGTGGATACTATCCACTTACATACAACCTTTTTCACATAGTCCAGACTGTATAGAGACTTTAATGTGCAAAACTTGTGTTTCCTTTAAAACCGAACAAAAAATTATAATATTCTTTTGTAGACAACTATAATCATGTCAAACCAGTATATTTCAATACTGCAATTTTCTGTATTTTAGTTAATGTTATGCTTTTACTATAGGCATCAGTTTTGAAATGACAGCATCGGTCGACCTTTTAGTGGAGTATTATACGTAGCAGTACCTTAAAATGGTAACTAGGTAAATGTACCAAGTTACTTAAACCATTTAACTGTATGCAAAGAGTTGCAAGTGCTAAATAAATTCGGATTAAATGAACCCATTTACATAGATTGAATTGCTAAAACACATCAGTTAAGTTGGCTCACTGTTTTTGCAACCAAGGCTGCATAATCATAGTGACAGATTCTCTCACGCTGACCTCAAAAAATATCAATGAACAAAAACAGAACAGCTGAGCTAACAGCCAGGAAGGAAGAGGGAGATATTGATATCAGATATACAGTGTGTTATATTGTGCACTGTAAGCAAATGGACTAGAGCCGGAACAGGATAACTTATCATCAGGACTGGTTAATGGTTTGAATCCCCCACGAATAAGTCGTTTTATGCCACGGATTTAAACAGCACCCTCAAACCAACACTAAGAGCTAAAACACAGCTGTGCAAACGGGAACGGTGGAAGTCAGTTAAGATGTGAGCTTCAGCTAAGCAAATAAATAATATAATACCAGGGAGAAATTACAGGATGTAAAGACATTATTTTCAGTGTTTGTACATCTGATTCAATTTGTAGTAACTGATGGTTTGGATTTGGGGCTCTTGGATGAAGGGGCCCATGTTACCTTGGGTTTGAGCAGGTCTAGCCGGCTCTGGACTCGGTTCTTAAGAGGCTCTGGAGAGCTTCCAGATGACAATTCAGGGGATCTGAGGGGCAAAGACAAGAGGTTTATGAGTTAGAAAGTGATATGGTCCTAAAAACTGTTCTGTTTTCATTTCAGCTTCACATAATCATATTTCTAACAGGTAAAAATATGTTTTCCTTTGCGTCAGACTGAGCTGATTTTCAACAAATTGGACATAAGCCATAGTGTGAGAAAAAGTGTTTAGAGAGTACTTGTCCATGGACAAATGAGTTTGGCAATTTACTTGTCCAAATACATTTTTCACTTGTCCAGAATGGACAAAAATTGGGGCCACTGGAATCTTCTTCGCCATCGTATTTTACATTTTTCCACGGTTTTTTCGACACCGCTAACGTAAGTGAGCGGTAAGATTTTACTGCATCACACATAGGGTTGGGTATCGTTTGGATTTTAAACGGGAAGCGGATCCGCTGTGTGTAGAAAGAGAGAGAGAGAAAGAGAGGCTGAAGTGCAGCGATCAGATGATCCGGAGCATAGAGAGAGAGCTGCGGTCCGCAGGGCTCGGCCTCGCCTCCTGTCCTCACAACTCTTATTAATCCTGGTACCGGACAATTGTTATTTGTTCCTACTCGGAACCAAGTTTTGCTTCCCAACCCTGCCACTGTGCTACACTTCCCGCCCCACCCTGCCCCGCCCTAACAGTACAGAAAGCGGCGAGATGCATTTCCTTAGGAATCGACAAGCATAACCGAAACTAACATTTCTAAACGAACAATGGCGGACATGGACCATTTGCGAACGAGTTCTGCCTTTTGTAAACTGAATTTATCTATAATTCGTCAATAAATGAGGGGGAAAAACGTCACTTGTCCGCCGGACAAGTCAATTGAAAGATCTACTTGTCCGATATTGTAAATAACACATCCCGGACGGTGGGACGTGTGCTTTTTCGCACACTGAATTTTAAATGTCATGCGCTTCCAACATAATGTAGAGCCCCCCCACCACCACAGTGGCTATTCATACTATTATTTTTATTTCAGATGTTTGACCAGAGAAATTGTTCCAGTGTGGTGTGGGAGGATTTTCCCCCATATGGTTTCAGTGGAGCGTTGTACTCTCTCATGTTGGTCTATGGCTGTTTCAGGGGCTTTCCCACTCCGAGTGAATCCTGGTAGTAAAAATAGTCTAATCCAATTTACAGCTCTGTGTCTTTTTCCTAGTAAAATAATTACTGAATTATCGTTGAAGACCTATTGAAATTCACCGTCTTTGGTGTACAGATGGTATACTGGTGCTTAAATTAAATGTATGTAGGAAAGTGCTCTCAGTAGATTGCAGAGGAGGCCGCAAGTGAGGTATCAAACTGTTGAGACAATGGGTTTTTCATAAATTGTGAATCACTGAGTGCATCAGGTTTATTGGTCTAGTTAGTATAATATTAAAGGTCACCTATTATGCAAAATGTTTTCCATTCACATGTTTTGCATTCACTTTTTCATGTCTTTTATACATAAACATGTGTCCCCTCTGTGTAACGAGATTCTGAAAGACCCCCTCTCCTTTTGGCCTGATCCATCTATATAAAAACCTGTCTAAAAATGAGCTGATCACATTTTGGCCACTTTGTGATGTTCTAATGTTTTTTTGGCTTGTGTAACCATCAGCCAATAACCAACCAAGGTAACACCCACCCACCCTATCACCTGAATCTCCTCCTAGGGCACCATTGTGTTTTTTTTAACCAAATATCTCTCAGAGGGGCGTGGGCAGAGGTGGGAATAAGTCATACATGTGCAAGTCATCATGAGCAAGTCTCAGGTCTTAACCTACAAGTCTCAAGCAAGTCCCAAGTCACTGTGGTGAGAGTCAAGCAAGTCAAGTCATTGCTCAGGTCAAGCAAGTCACAAGTCAAGTCATACGACATTCTGATGAATAACCCCAGTTTCCGCATTTAAATCAGTTCAAATATTGTGGTTATGAAAAGTTTAGTTTTATTTTCAACATAAACAGCAATGGAGTGTGGGGCGCTGAAATTATAACCCTATAAATTCTAAAAGGGCTCTAAAGTGATAACAGGAGTACAACACAAATATTTTACATCAACATGTTAAGCCTCCTGCCCTGGCTCGCCTTCAGCAGGGTCACAGCCTTTCTCCTGTCTAAGGTGCTCCCATATGACACTCTCTTTTTGTTTTCCTAACTGTGGCCGTTTCTCAATCGCGAGGATGCTTGCTTGGTAGCACATGTCTTCCGAGTCACTTGCTTCAGAAGC